TGAGCCACCCGGGGGCACCTGCTTTTTACATTCTTAAACTTTGTGCAATTAAAGTATCTAATTATATTCCTTTAAAAGCCATATATAGACAAAATTCTACATTAAAAAATTTTTAAATAACCTGAATCTCTTCGCTAAAATGTAAGCTTTAGCACAAAACCCTCTTCAAGTCTAGAGCTTAGTGGTGGTTGTGAGGGGTGGGGTGAAGGAGAGGGAAATGACAAGGCACAATTATTGCTTCCTATTATTTTGAAATATCTGAATCCATCCTAATCTGACTATAAAGAAGCTGAAATTTACCTCTGTGTCACTTACAGAAAACCCCCTAAGCTGACAGTATAAACAAATCAGGACAACAAGAACAGTCATGGAGCTCCTGACCTTAAGCTGCCAGTGACTATAAGGGGTGCGGGGTAGGGGGACATGGAGGCTGGAGTCAGAGAAGATGGTCCTCTCGTCCTCTCCCTCTCTCGGAGCAACCGCATGGGGACGCTTCAGAGCAGCTGTAATTTAAACCAAACAACGATGGGCTGACGACAATTCTTCTGATGTCAGCCCCACAAGGACTGCAAAAGATGCCAAGTTTTTAAGCCTCATTAACCGTGAGGAAGGCCTCTACCAAAGCTACTCACATTGTTATTAATTCCTCTGGCCAGGACATCAGCAGCCAGATCAGCAGAGGACATGAAGGTTTATACGAAAGAGGACAGAAGGAGGATCCAAACAGATTTGGACAGATTTGAATCCAGCAAGATGCAATCTAACGTCAGTACCAAGACCAGCGCTTAGGTCCAAGAAATTAACTGCACTCACAGCAGATGGAGAAATGGGGTTTAACAGGAGCATCTGGAGAGAACAGTTCAGGGTTTGGCGGACTGTATGTCTGGGGGGAGTGACAGTTTGTTGGGGATGAGACTGCCAAAAGATTTTTTTTTTAAAGGCAGCAGATGCAAACCAACACCCAAATCAGTGTGGTTCTGGGAAGCACACTGCACACCACAGGGCTGCACAACCTGAGAGCTTAGAGGGCCCTCAGGAAGCATCTTCCCCGGGGTTAGACCCTGGGGTGGAGGAAGGGATGGGTTTGTGTCTGGGTACAACCCCCCACAAGGACACTGACCAGAAGAAGTTAAGCAGAACAGTGAGAAGCTCGTGAACACAAGAGGGAAACGGAAGGTCGAGACTGAAGAAACAAAAATTCAAGAAGAATGAAAGCTGGCTCCAAATATTAAAACACAGGGTTCTGGGCCCCATCCCCAGAGGTTCCCATTCAGCAGATCCGGGTGGTCTCGGAATTTGCATTTCTAAGTTCCCAGGGGAGGCTGACAGTGGCTGGTCCAGGGACCATACTCTGAGAAACAAAATTGTAATTCAGAAAAAAACATGTACGTATTTCTGAGATTTTACTAAGACACAATGGCCATTCCCCAGCAAGTCCAAATTAGGGATAATTTATTGGTTTTAAAACCCCACATATTGGGGCACCTGCGTGGCTCAGTCAGATAAGTGTCTGACTTCAGCTCAGGTCATGATCTCATGGTTCATGAGTTCGAGCCCCATGTTGGGCTCTGTGCTGACAGCTCAGAGCCTGGAGCCTGCTTCAGATTCTGTGTCTCCCTCTCTCTCTGCCCCTCCCCTGCTCACCATCTGTTTCTCTCTCAAAAATAAATAAACATTAAAAAAAACACACATTTATTTTTAAGATTGTGCTCTTTTTAAAATTTTATGTTGCTGAACAGAAGTTTCACCTTTACTTCTGACCCTTAGCATTTCTTATTAGTTCAGCTTCATAGAGCAAAATTCTGTCTCTCTCTCTGCTTCATTTCTTGCATTTTACGTAGTGGGCAGTCTCCTTCTGGTATTCTTCCATGCATCCTGTCCTGATGTATTATATTCGGCGGGTCAAGCCTCATTACATATTAAAATGTGACCTGCTTTCATCAAATGGTATCTGGCTTCCCACATCTGCTAAAATAGTAAATACTGATCCAGTCCTTTCCCCCCAAAAGCCCACACCGAGCGCACCGTGCCCAGGGGCCCATTAGATTTCAAACCAGCTGCATTCAATTCCCGATTAATTTTTATTTGATCTTATATACTTGAAGCTTTAGCCTTTCGATCCCAGTAGGAAAATTACCGGCATATGGAATGCATATACAATGACATGCAAAGCAATGCAAATTAATACAAAACATACACTTCTAAATTGCTTGGGAAAAGTCTGTAAGCTTTGACATTGATATTATCTGCTTTGCTTCTCTACCGTCTGGCGAGCAGTGACCAGATTCTTTTATTACAGTTAATTTTATATGGCACCTAGCACCTGACACTGGTTAGCCTATTAAATGGAAGGTGCCCCTGTCCGGGAGTCAGGCAAACGGGATCCTAGCCTGAACTTGGCCACTGTTCGGTTCTATGGCCTTGTACAAGTTCTCCCAATTCTCTGGTTCTCAGATCCTACATCTGGAAGTAATGAGGTGATATCATCCTAAAACCGCCAGCACTAAGGCTTACAGGCCGGCACAATGCACACATCGTGTACACGTTGTGCGTGCGGGATGCACACGTGCAATCCTCACCACAGCCCATGAGAAGGTACAATCAAGCGTGCGCCCCGTCCATGTGGTGTCATTTCAGAGGCCAGGAAACTCTCATGGGTAAGCGAGGGAGCGGAACAGCCAGAACTGGCCTCAGCAGCATCGCTCCAGGGGCCACTCAGTGGAGCTGCTGCTCTGTTGCCCCATTTCCAGCTGTGTTACTAGAAAACATTAAGTTTGCATGATTCACGAAGTCAAAGTTCACATCTCACAGTCATATGTGCTTCAAAGTACTGTTTCTGTGAGATGCTGAGAGTTACGGGAGTTCGATGTCAAAATGCCAGCCCAATCAGACTGTATTCACCTGAAGGGACTCCAGTATCTTCGTTCCATCCCTTTCACGTATTGTGTGTGAAGCTCCCTCATCTCACAAAAGCCATCCCCCTTTTCCTCCTCTCACCTGAGGAGTGGCTTCCAGGGAGGCAAGCGTGGAGGCCACTGCCAGTCCTCAGCCCGCAGCGCGCCCCGCAGACTGGGCAGGTGCTCGCTCCCATGTGTGAGACGCACCCCCCTGGCTCTCACCTCTCCCCATGAAGGCAGGGGCTCTGACCCGGGTCCACACCCCTGCCCCGGCCACCCCAAACGTTAAATAGTGCCCCAGCACAGGTGACGCCTACTCCACTGGAGCATCAGCCAGGGTCTCAGACTCAACCAACCAAACATATCTTTCCTCCAAAACCTGCCCTCCTCTAATGTTCCCTTTTTTATGAATGGCAGCAACATCTGCCACAACCTGGAGAGAGTCGCCCTGCCCTCTCCATACAAAAGTCGTCACCAAGTGGCTCCAGAGTCTGCCTTGAATGCAAGCACTTGCTGCCACGGCCTCAGCCCAGCCCAGACCCCCAGGCCTCTCAGACCCTTGGAACAGCCCTGTTTACCTTCCGGGTACCTCAGATCCATTCTCACACAGCAAACCTAGTCTTGTTTTGTTTTGAATGCAACTCTCACCAGGACACTCTCAGGTGTGAAACTGTCCAGAGGATTAATTCCACAAAAGGGCCCCAAGGCCTGGCATCATGTAGCCCTGGCACCTGCTCACCTCACCTGTGCCACTCTCCCTTCACATCAAACTGGACCTCTCCATTCCACAAACTCTCTGCTAGTCCTTCTGTCTCAGGGCACGCTGCTCCCTGGGCAGGGAGAATGCTCCTTTCCCCCTTCTCTTCCGTGCACTTAGTGGACACCACTCCCACTCATCCATGAGGCCCACCTTAAATCTCCCCCAGAAGGCCACCTGCCTCTTTCCCAGACTCAGCACATCTGCCCCCTTCCCCCAGTCATGTACATTTCCTACTTCCTCACCCCCCACCCCCCACTGCAGCCATGATCTGCATTCATGCAAAGTCACATTGATAACTATTTACTGCCTGCCTATCTTGAGGGTACTTACTTGGCATGGTGCTATCAAGTGCCGACTTTGACTTATTCCCCAATTATGCCATTCACTCCTACCTACCACCGTGCTGATAACTGTGGCATTTAGCAAATCACTTTGGAATGAGTTAACTCTGGAATGAGTACAAGCAATAAACAGGAAGGAACCCTGCTCCTCATCTCCCCCTCCCCCAAATTCTTCTATCAGCTTTCTGAACTCCGGACCACACAACCAAATTCTTTGGCTATTGTTTCTCTGCTAATAAAAGAGGTAATTTAACAGCATCTTAATCCGTCATTTCTCAGACAGTATTGGATCCTTGGAAAGTACAGCACAGAAATGTTCCCTGCCATCATTCATTTATTTTTAAAGATTTTACTTCCTCAAGACACTATCAACGAAGGCTGTCAAAAGGGACAGTTAGGTTCTAAAATGCCTTAGGCTGATAAGTGGTTTGATAAGGGCACGCTTCATGCATGTAAGATCAAAAAGGGTGACTTCTATGTCTACCAACTCTCACGGGATACTTAATATTAGCCCTAATTCCCTTACTATTCTGGGTTGTTCCTCTTCAACTGTACGGACGAGAAGAGGGAAGGGTAAGGGTCTGAGGGCTACCACCACCTCTTCGTGTGCCCAGGTAAGGGGGCAAATCACAAGCTTCCCGTGCGACAACAACCCGGAAAACCTCCCCAAGACCGAGAACTTGGTTCTAAAACTACCAGGCAATACCAGCTCACTCACGCTGTCAGTCTAAGTAAAGATGGTAAACTGACTCGAGAGTCCAGACCTCTTGGCTTGGATCCCCGGAGGCTCCAAGCCTGCCTGAGCGGCGCGGCCACCTCGCAGGGGGGACGTCCTGGTCAGCTCTGCGGCATGAAAACTTGACCTTAAAAAGCAACGAAGCTCGTCCCTGCGGAGGGCATCGCCAGGAGGTCCGCCCCACAGCTTGCGATCTCCAAACTGGTGAGACCTCACCCCACCACCCCACCCCACCCCTCCCCTCCGCCCCAGAGCGCCCAGTGCTAATGGACAAGCCACTGGTGCAGCCCATCCCCGAGCGCCTCGTCCCTCTCCCGCCCACGCGCTTCCCGCCTACCAGGGACGAGGACGCCAGGGACCCGAGTCTCGGGCAGCGTCGCCGGCGGCGCTGGGGCTGCGGTGAGGCTGGAGCGCTGGGTTGGGGGGGGGGGGGGGGGGTGGGAATAGCCGGCGTCGCGCCCCCTCCCCCTTGGCGCCCCTCGCCAGAGCGGCCCTTGTGCCGCGGGACGGAAACTGCGGGCCCCCCGCCTCGGAAAGGGCGCGTGCCGGAGCCGCGTTCTCACCGCTCGGGGAGAGTCCGGGGAAACCCTGGTGCGGACACGCCGCGCGGGTTCCCGAAGTTGCGGCGTCCGCGAGTGCCGAGGCGGGGTCACCCTCAATAGCCCCCGACTCCATCTCCGCCCGCCGGGTGCCCGCGCCCTTCCTCCCGGCACCCGCTAGGCGCGCAGCCAGGCCGGGGCTCAGCCCGGGATCCCGCTGCGGCACCCCGTGGTCGGCGTCCCCGCCCCCACCCCCCCGAGAGCAACGCGGCGCCCAAGTTTTCCCTAGCGGGAAAGTCAAAGTCTCGAGGAGGAGAGGGTCCGGCCGTCCCGGCCACTCCGTGGCTGGGATCGGAGCCCTGCACCCCGGCCCCGGCCGTTCCTCGCTGGCCTGCGTGGCCAAGTCGACTTACGAAAGGGAGCAGGGGAGCCCCGGACGCGGGGTCCCCGCGGCTGCAGAGGCCGTCCGGGAGGGGGCCGCGAGTTGCGCTCCGGGCTCCCAGCCCCTCTGCGGCGGCGGCGGCGGCGGCTCGCTCCCGCCTCCTCCCCTTTCGCCAACTCGGCGGCGCGCCCTGCTAGGGAGTTGCTTTCCCTCGGCCGGGGGTGGGAGAGCGCCGAGCGGCCCCCGTGACGTGGAGAAGAAAGGAGGAGCGCCGTCGCCGCGCTCCCGCAGCGGGAGCTCCCCGCCCCTGCACTCCGGGGTCCCCGCTCCAAGCTTGGGACAAAGTTGCTAGGCGCGCGCGGCGCGCTCCGCTCCGGCCGAGCCGCGCGGCTCTGCGCCGCTGCCCTGAGCGTCATCCAGGTTCGGGTGCCTCCCCGCGTTAAACAGACAAGAAATCCGAGGTCCGGGGAGCCAAGAGACTTGCCCAAAGTCGCTCAGAGGGCGGTGACAAAGCAAACTTACATCTGCGACTCCTTGCTTTCCCCCAGGGCTGTGCTCTGTGAAGCTCGGGCCCTGCAGGATTTGCCTCGCTCTCATTGGTGAGACTGGGACAGTGTCCCACGAAGCCAGGAGAAATATTTAGGAACAGCGTGGGAAGGTGGAGCTTTATGGCCAATAAATAGGGTACAAAGTTGTTTTCCGTCAGTGCCTACATGCCAAATAGACACTCCAAGGCTTCCTTTTTACTCGAGAAAGCGGGGCGGGCTGGGGGTGGGGGGGTCGGTGAGGGCGTCAGGCCTTGAGGGCGTGGGATCCGGTACCAGTCCTGATCCCGGAATAATTGAATGAAAGCAAGCTCAGACCTACTTAACCAACTAAGAAATATCTACAGCTTGAAATATACTAATTTTTGGAAGTGGATGTGATGCAGGCAGGCCAGTCTGAGGACACGGGAGGGGGGCCCCAAAGGACGAGCCAAAAGGATCCTTGGCTTCGGGCAGGATAGAAATCACATGTGAAAGGTTTATGGAATAGCGGGAGTGACCGAGAATAGCAGAGGGAGTGTCTGGGAGACTCCAAAGGGGGAATGAGTCTAGGGGTTGCTTTGGGTTAGGGATTTATATTGGAAAGGTGTCCAGGGGATGTGTTCCTTGAGGATTCCAGGAGAGGGGCCAAAGGCACATGACAGGTGAATATTAGGTGTTATTTTAGAAGGTCCGCGGTGTTGATGCCAGCGTCAGCCCAGATTTGGTCGAAGCTAATGTCCTGGAATGAGTTTGGGATCTGGCTCTTTTTAGATGTTATCCGGTGTCTGAGAACTTAGGACAGAACTCAGAGAATAACTTTCTTATTTCCCCCTTGGAGTGGGAACATAGCTCCTCTGGTTTATGCAAACGCAAAAAATAGAACATGAGTAAATAGGGCCTAGCAGAAGAACAGCAGAGATGGAGCCTTTCTAAAAATGGAGTCCCTTCCGTTTCCCTATCTCAGATGCTTTATCTGTGCTGGCAGTTGTCTACTTCCAGAAGTCTCCTGCAGCACTCCTGTTCCTTTTAGGGCCAGAGGCTCCTAGGGCCTGACTTTTAGAACAGGAGGCCTACGAGGCAAGTCAGTCCCAGCTGGTTTGCTGCTTCCTTCAGTGTCAGTCCGTGTTGACTAAGGGCTTGCCATATGCCTGGTTGGTGGGTGGAGAGTCAGATAAGACCAGACTCTGACACCCAGTGAATCCCAACTAGGGAGCACTGCATAAGACTCCGTATGCTTTACTCCCAGGATCTAGAGTCTGTCCACAGTAGTAGAGACTCTGAGACTACTCTGCCTCTTAAAAACTTCTCTGTGCCAGGGGAGCAAATACTTCAAGATCCGTTTTGCAGGCACTTTCAAGTAAATGGCCAGCTTTTCACTCATCTCCTTTTCCCAGTGGGACCTCCTTTTTCTGCAAGAGTCACTAAAGATCAGGTAATTCACTCTGCTTGTCTCCCCCGTCTGCACACAAAGAAGATGATGATAAAAACAAGTAAGGCTTCTATCATCCATCTTGGGTGCTATTCTAAGATATCTATACAGACTCCTTTAATCATCACAAAGTTACGAAAGAGGTGCCATTTCTATTCTGATTTTATAGATGACAAGAGGGAAGCAGGTGAAGTGAAATAAGTTGCCAATAAATGGAAGAGCCAGAACTCAGACCCTGATGGGCTGCCCCAAGTATCCATGCTGTTAACAGCTGAGGAGACTGAGGCCTCTGAGACTGGGATTTGAATGGCCCACGGCCCACACCAGCCCCCACTCGCACCACCGAAGCTTCTGGTTATCTCAAGCAAGGGGCGTTACGAAAGCCACACTCACAGAATTCCTCCCAAAGAGACCAGTTTTCTTATTCTGAATATATCCAATCAGAAGTGGTTATCCAGGGGCATCTGGGTGGCTCAGTCGGTATAGGGTCCAACTTCTGCTCAGGTCATGATCTTGCAGTTTGTGAGTTAGAGCCCTGCATCAGGCTCTGTGCTGACCTCTCAGAACCTGGATCCTGCTTCAGATTCTGTGTCTCCCCCCTCTTTCTGCCCCTCCAATGCTCATGCTCTGTCTCTGTCTCTCAATAATAAATAAATGTTAAAAAAATTTTTTTAAAAAGTGGGTATCTATTCACTCACTTGCTCCCCTGTCTCCAACTCCCAGATCAACCTACTTACTAGTCATAAAGCAAACTGTTTCTATGATGGGACCTTAAAAAACACCTTTAGCATAAAGTTTGGGCACGTTGTTTTGGATTGTTCTATATTCAGACCATGCCCATTCTCTCCCTGCCCTCTCTATTCACTGCCATCAATTAGTCCCTTTCCTTAAAACAGTGCCCCAAGTCTTCCAAAAGCTGATTGTCCAAGGCTGGATGGTGGCCACGGAAGGTCTCTGCTACGCTGTGCAGCACACTCAGTATTCCTGTTAGTTTCCCAGAGCTGCCGTAACAAATTACCACGAACTAGGTGACTTAAAACAGTAGAAATGTATTCTTTCACAGTCTGGACCCAGAAGCCTGAAGTTAAGGGGTTGGCAGGGCCATGCTCCCTCTGAAAGCTCTAGGGAAGAATACTCCTCTGTCTCTTCCTCGCTTGCGGTGGTCAAGGGCACTCCTTGGCGCTCCTCGGCTTGCAGAAACATCACTGCAGACTTTGTTTCCTTTACTACGTTAGCCTTCTTTTGTGTGTGTGTGTGTGTCTTCTCTGTGTCCAAATTTCTGTCTTCTTTAGGGTTATCGGACACTGGGTTTAGGACCACCCTAATCCAGTATGACCTCATCTTAACTTGATTACATCTGCAAAGACCCTATTTCCAAATAAGGTCAGGTCCACAGGTTCTGGGTGGACATGAATTTTGGGAGGACCCTATTCCACCAAGTACCAGCCCTAAAAGTCACTGTTAATGAAAATGTTTGCTTGAGCTAAGGAGGCAAAGAGTTATAAATCACAGGACCTCTCCTCCAAGTAAGACATTGTACTTACAGACATAGTCCCTGTACCCAGAACATCAATAATCAACAGGACAGGAGATGCTAAGCGCCAAATGATGGGCCAAATGACAGCCATGCTCAGGAAGTCAGCCAAGGGGACACAGTCACTGAGGACACCACTAAAGCACATCACTCCGAGCAGAGGGCAATCTAAGCACACCCTTGTAGGAAAGCAAAGATAAGTAAGGATAGCTTATCAAAAGCACAGCTGTGAGTGGGGAAGGCGTGCCTGGCAGAATTTTACTTCTGAAGTTTTACTGCAGAAATGAGAGGCTAAAAGGACACCTACCATATGGAGTATAAGAACATGGTAGATTATTTGGCCACAATAATGGTATGTTGCAATGCCATTGCAATTAGCATGCTTTAAAGTGCTCGTTCCTTTCGTTAATTTCATTCGGTCTTTTTTTTTTTTTTTTAATGTTCTATTTATTTTTGAGAGAGCACAAGTGGGAGAGGCAGAGAGAGAGAGGGATGAAGGATCTGAAGGGAGCTCTGAGCTGCCAGCACAGAGCTGGATGCTGGGCTTGAACTCACGAAACACATGATCGTGACTTGAGCCGAAGTTGGATGCCCAACTGACTGAGCCACCCAGACGCCCCTCATTTGGTCTTTATAACAATCAGAGTGTCATCAGAGAAAAGGACATTATATCTTACATCTAAGGATCCTGGGGCTCAAAGGGGGCAAATAATTTGCTCAGGTCAAACAGCAAATCGGTTGTAGAATTGGTATGAAACACACTGGCCTCAATAGTCCTTGGTCAGGAATTTCCTTACCAAATGATGTTTTCCCCTGGGTGAGCCTTCCAGTACTGGCTGTGTTGTCCTTGGCCCAAGGAAAGCATCTGAAGAACAGGGTAATCCTGTAATAAATGAAAAGCCTTCCTAAAGCCATGTGAATTCCAAACTGGAATTGTGATAAACCTCCCCCAGACATCTGAATTGGTTTCACTAAACCTTCTGAGTATTTTTGGCTGTATTAAAGAATCTCCTTTGGCCTTCTAGAAACATAATAGGATACAGTGGCCTTCTGAGAAGCTCAGCTGATTACCTCATGAAAATAGAAGTTGGAGAAGTTGAGATGTTGGATACAAAAGGCAACAAATTACATCACAAAATGGTAAGCTGACAAAAACTGATAATCACAATTTCGTGTTGGATCTCACCAGTGTGGAGTCGTGCACAGATGACCAGATCTTGGCATGTTTGAAAGATTTTCCACTAAGAATCTGTAGCTGTGGCAAGCAGCTGGAAGTAAGCAGAAAGTCTAACCTTGGGCTGAGTATCTGATGATTGATGTGTATTTTCCTGGATTTTCCTTTACTTAGTAATCAGGGAACTTGCTGTATCCTCTGCTGGCTGTGTTTAATGGTATGTTTAAGGATGAAATGCTTTTGAATCTAGTGTGATTCACTGAGTTCTTACCTGTGCAAAGTGCTACACTGGTTGCTACAAGAGAATACAAAAATATAAGAGACAGTCCCTGACCTTGAAGAAAAGCCCATATCATTTAGGAGAGATGAGACGTAGAGATTAAAAATGGTATAAGGGGGGCTGCAATGATATTCTCAGCAGTTTCTCATCAATCAGTTGTCTGTTCAGATGCAACTTCTCTTGCCACCCTTTTTACAACAATGGCTTCCTGTACCTCCATATCACCTTCTAGCCCTATATCTTGCTCTCTGGCCTTTATGACATTTGTCACTATCTGAAATTAACTTCTTTGCTTGTTTACTCTGCTCCTAGACAGAGGACATGGAATTGTCTCATTTTTTTGGTGTATTCCTAGCAGCTAACAACAATGCTGGGCACATATTTGGTGCTCATTAAAATTTTCCAGACAAATGAATGAAGTACTTATTAATCAACTGAAAATGGGCCAAGATAAGTTGAATTAATGTAGTGTTTCCCACATTTGACTGATAAAACTTATATGGGCACTATCAAAATTTTTTTTGTGAAGATTTTGATTCAGTAAGCCTGGAATGGGGCCCAGGAATCTGTATTTTTAAGAAGCATCCCAAATGATTCTTTTAATGGGACAAGTTTCAGAAACACAGGATTAATGCAGTGATTGATGCATTGATGGTGGTTGGAAAAAAAAAACAAAACTGAAGTTACAAGATCAGTTTCCAAAGATCAGTGGCTGCTCACTGGAATCACCTGGGAGAGATTAAAAAAACCCTGTGGGTGCCTGGGTGGCTCATTTGGTTAAGCAGCCTACTCTTGATTTCAGCTCAGGTCAGGTACTCATGGTTAGTGAGTCAGCTGTGTGGACAGCACAGAGCCTGCTTGGGATTCTGTCTCCCCCTCTTTGCCCCTCCCCCCCACATGGGTACGCGTGATTGCTCTGTCTCTCTCTGTCTCTCTCTCTCTCTCTCTCTCTCTCTCTCTCTCTCTCAATAAATAAATAAACTTACAAAAAAAAAAAAAAATCCCGACAGCCCAGACACTACTCCAGATCAATGAAACTAGATTTGGTCTAGGTTTTAACATTCATCAGGTGTTCCTAATAAATATCCAAGCCTGACAATCCCCTGAGATCTGCAGAAATATTTTATAAGTACTCCATGTATATTGCTAGGTTGTGGTCCAGTGGCTTCCAGCTTATTGTGTCCCACAGCTAGAATCCTTGATCTCCTAGTCTGGAAGAAACACATGCAGACACTTACACAATAACCCAATTTGGGGAGAACTATAGTAACTTTTTGCTATTGTAAAACATGTTATTGGGGCGCCTGGGTGGCTCAGTTGGTTAAGTGTCTGATTTCGGCTCAGATCATGAGCTCGTGGTTGGTGGGTTCGAACTGTGTGCTGACAGCTCAGAGCCTGGAGCCTGCTTCCAATTCTGTGTCTCCCTCTCTCACTGCCCCTCCCTCGCTTGCATTCTGTCTGTCTGTCTCTCTCTCTTAAAAATAAACATTAAAAAAATTTAACAAAAAAGATTATTTAAAGCAACCACTGAATAAAATCTCATGTACTTCATGGCCAGAGAAAAAAACACATACAATATTTTGAAGGTGAGAAAGCCAACGCCCCTTGGGCATAGCCTAGATGGTTAGAATGAGTCATAGAGAGTAAAAATGCTATGCTTATAATAAAATGGGAGAAAACAGGGGCACCTGGATGGCTTAGTCAGTTAAGCGTCCGACTTTGGCTCAGGTCATGATCTTACAGTGTGTGGGTTCAAGCCCCGTGTCGGGCTCTGTGCTGACAGCTCAGAGCCTGGAGCCTGCTTCGGATT